CCGGGCCGCTGTGGGCCTCCCCGCTGCCTGCCTGGACACGCCCGCCCTGCCCACCCGCCCCAGGAAGGAGAGTTCAGCGGCATGGGGGCGTTTGCGTTAAATGCCACATTTATTTCAGAACCGAACAAGCCTGACGTGCGTGCAGACGGCCGGGACCCGAGGTGCCAACCCCCGGGCACAGAGGGCCCGGGGTGCCGCCATCACCAGCAGGAACCAGAGGGCATGAAGGGCAGCCTCCCTCCTCGGCAGGGCCCCAGCCTGCCTGCCGGTGCTTGCCCGCCCTCCACACCACCGTTCCCCTGTGAAATTTCCCTTCTGATGGGGCTCACAGTTGTGCCTAAACCTCGGGTTTGCGTTCCTTCTCCTGGGGGGCTGAGGTGGTAGAGGGGATGGGTGGACAAGGGTCTGACCAGGGGAGCGCACGGTGCTGGCGGGAGTGGAGCCGGTAAGACGGCAAAGGTAGCCCCGAGCACAGCAGCCCCCAGCCGAGCTGGCTGCTCTGCAGGTTTGCTGGCCTCAGGCATGCTTCGGCTCCGGCTGGAGGACACCCATCCTGTAGCCACCCCTTGCCTGTGGCATGGGCAGCACCGCCCAGCCATGGCCGGTGAACCTGTGTCTGGTCCCTGGCAGACACAGGTCCTGTCTCTGCCAGAAGCTGCCTCTGCCCTGAAAAAGCCTTCCTTCTCCCTTGGGGCACCCAGTGTTTCCACCCCTAGCCCCTTACATTGAAATCTGGGATGATACTGACTAGTCCTTGCCCAGAACACGGGAGTCAGGATGTTGCAGCCTGGGCCCCTGCTTCACCCTGGCCTCAGCTCTGCCCTTCCGTACCCCCGAGCAGGTACCTCTCCCTCCATAAAGGGCACGAGTTGGCCTCCAGGTCTCTAAAATGGATCACATGGAGGAAAAAAAAACAGTTTGATGGGGAGCTTGTCCTGGGCGGGCAATCTGCTGCCTGCCCAGAGAGCAGGGCTGGGAGGAGCAGCCTTGCCACGGCTTCAGGCCAGAGCAATGGGGTGAGACACCCAAGGAGCTGCAGTGAGGCTGGGCAGAACTGGCAGGGGCTCAGGAAGGATCCCAGAAGCCTTTCCGTGACCTGAAACCCAAGCTGAACAGCGCCTGACATGCAGCAAGGGGGTCCCTGCAAGCTTCTGCCCACCTGCCATGTCCCTACCTGTCCATGCCCCCCATGACACGAGTGTAACGAGAAGACGGCACCACGTCCAACGCACACACACAGGCACACACACACACACCACAGACAGCGTGGGGAGGTGCGGCAGAGCCAAGGCGCAGCCGTGCTGTGCAAGGGAAGGTCAGCCAAGAAGGCATGACAGCAAAGCTGGGGGGGGTGCCCAGGAGACGTGTGGAGGAAGATGCTTGCCTTCCCGCCTGGAGCTGTGCCAGATGCCACCGGGCGCTTGGGAAGCCCCAAACAAAAGCATCCCCCCATCAGTGAGAGACGAGAGAAGGAGGAGAGGGAGAGCTGCTGCTGGGGAAGGTGGGAAGCTGTGATGGCTGGAGAAGGTCTTTTCGGCAAAGCCACCTCCACCACAGGAAGCCCCCTGGATTAATGTGCCAGCAGAGGCAGGGTGGGAAGGAGGTGGGCACTCGCTTCTGCAGTGGGGGAAGAGAAGTGAGAGAACACCAGCTGCAACAGTAAAAAGAAGCCCCATCCCCACCCTGACACCCCCACACCAGCCTCTCCCCTGCCCCTCTGACCTGCTTCGAGCCTGTTGTCCTGCTGGGAGAAGGGATGGGAAAGGGAAAAGGCGATGAGGATCCTGTGGATTGGGATGGTCATTCCTAGCCCCAGCTCCTGGAGAACTTTCCCATCTGGCTTTGGAAGCGGCCACCTGAACCTCCACACTCCCCACAGGGATGGGACCCTTGGCGTCCTGCCCTAAGAGGGAGGGAATCCCCTTGGACAAGCCCCCTGGGGCTCCCAGGCCGGGATAGTGGAGGTGGCCCACGTGTTTTTTGGTTGGGAAGGACAGCCCCACATGAGGTGACAGGCAGAGCCGTCCCCAGAGCCCTCCTGTTCCCTCCAGCAGGACCAAGCTCTGAAGCGAGGTGACCCATCCGCGTGGGCACAGGTGCCTCGGACAGCTGAGATGGCGGGCTCCCCCCTTCCAGAGGTAGATGGGGCAGGTAGGAATTGCCTCCTTTGGGAAGACATGGTGGGCTGTCCAGCCACTGATCAGGGGAGAAGTAGTTTAAGCCCCGGGGGGGGGGGGCAAAGCAGAGGGCTGGGGAAGGGCAGGGAGCAAGGGCAAGAGCTCTGCCGCCACCAGGCACATGCCAGGGATGTCCTGGGGAAGGCATCTCCAGGATCCCGGCCCACCGCCAAGGCTCTCCCCTGCCCGGGGGAGGCGTTGTCCAGGGGCTAGGACCCAACTTATGGGATTTTTGTGATGTAAACAGAAATAAATACTTTATAAATATCATCTTAAACTACCAACACCTGATCTTACCCTGCCGTCTCTTGCAGAAACTATCAATAAACTAGGAAATCCCCATACCTAAACTACCACTTTCCCGTCATGTGGAGGCAATTCCTCCTGCTCTCCCACCTCCAAGCTTTACTGCACTCCCACCCCTGTAGATCAAAGACCAGCTTTTAGCTGAAACTGCCCTCCTCGCTCCCTCCCCTCTGACAGGGACCTTTCTGGAGCATTACAGATGGCGTGACATGAAGGTCACCCATGGGGGGACGGGCAGAAGATGGCACACGCACGAGAAATCCTGCCCAGGTGGGTCCAGGCTTTTGCAGCTATGAACGGAAGTGAGTTTCCCCTGTGAAGGTGTGAATCAAGACAAATCCTTCCATGGAGCAGACAGCTGGGGCAGCAGATGGTGTGAGAGATCAGACGTTAACATGGGGAGTCTTGAGACAGAATCAGCTATCTTGATCCTGTTCACAGACGGATGAGGTGGAGGGTGTTTTTCAGGTTAGATTCTCATCTGAGCTGTTCTCCTTCTGGACAGCTTGGATCTGATTTGGAAAACAAGGGACAAAAGGTGTCAAGAGATGTGGACGAGGAGAGGTGTGGTCCCTTGGGTTCAGTGTCGTGGCTCCAGGCTGCTGCTTGAATCCAGGCAGAGCTGGAGGGACATGGGATTAATGTCTCTTTAGCCAGAGCACACAAATTTCTGTGCATTTACTCCTATTCCCCTAGTCATGCCACTTGAGATGCTCTCAAGAACTTCATGAGATGCTCTCAAGAACTTCATGAGATGCTCTCAAGAACAGTGAAGGGCCAGTGTCCCTACTGCCAGGCATGGATGTTGCTTTGAACTCAGCACAATGCCTCTGTACCAGCTGGGATCTGGCCCTAGATTGAAGCATTTAAATGGGGAGGAGCTGAAATCAAGATTAATAAGGTCCGTGTTTTACCAGCTGAGAGCCTGTCCAGGCACAGCTCTGCACAGGAGGTGCTCCCCATGCCTGGCCCAGGGTGCTGCAGTAGGGACAACACTGGGAGCAGGGGAGGGAGCATGCTTGGCTGCCTGCAGGCCCCCCCGCAACAGCTTCCCTGCAACCCCCTTCCCCCAGCTGCCCCTGGTACCTTATGGACCCAGCCAGGAGCGGGTTGAAGGCGTAGAGCCAGTCGTGCATGTCCTTGTCACTGCTCGCCTGCAGCAGGATGCCCCGGTGCTCCGTGCACACCGCAAACGTGTTCGGCGTCTGCCGGGGAAGAGCCGGGGCTGAGTCCCTTGCCCGAGGGGGTGCACGGAGTGGGGCTGGCTCCCAGCGCCCTACCTTGAGCATGGCCTGTTGGTCCTCACTGTACTCCACCTGGGCCTTGGAGAGGTTGAGTATGGCCCTCTCAACTGAATCCTTGTCCGAGTTGTAGATGTAGACGTATGGGCGCCGGACCACCACAAAGCGCTTCACCCACCCATTGGTGTGGGGCTCCAGAAAGTGCAAGTAGCCCTTTTTGGAGACGATGGGGCTGCAGAAGGTACCAAGGTCAGGGTGGGACACGGACCACGAGGAGATGGCAATGGTAGGGCACGGTCCCCCCAGCCCCAAGGCACTCCCCTCAGTGGCTGGCCCCCCCCCCCCAAGCCCCCCCCCTCGGGGCCCCCCCCAGCCACTCCTACCTGACCCGGATCTCCTGGATGTCAGGCACCAGCAAACGCTGGGGCTCCTTCTCCTCCTCAGGCCGGCGGGACGGGGACTTCTTCTGCTCTCTTTCTACCACAGGCTCCAGGTCAGGGCTCTCTGCCCTGGAGGAGATCTGGGGAGGTCTGGGGAGGGAGGAGAGGCCGGGGTGGAGGAAGAGTGACGGCTGGGGAACACCCATCGACCAGGACTGCATCCCAGTGGTACAGCTGCCCTGCTAGGGGGATGCTGGGGCATCACCCGAATCTTCCAGCCACCTTCTTACCTGACCTCCATGGCGTTGTAGCGTCCTTCCACCAGCGATGGGCAGGTCGAGGAGGGGGTGAGAGTGGTGACCCCAAGAGCTGGCATGGAGGGGTCTCTCATCAGGGTCACGGACATTTCGGACAGCTGTGGAGGAGTGGAGGCGTGGACTTGAGTTTCTGTCTGAAGCCGGGCACAGGCAAAGGACCAGGCGCCTGCTCATATGGGGAGAGGCAAGACCTCCGGCCGGCGGGGTCCTCTCCTGGCACAGTCCCCAGAGCCAGCAGCTCCAGGAACACCAGGGTGAGCAGAGGGAGCAGGGACCCCGGAGCAGGGACCACTCACGCTATGGTGGCCGTCTGGGCCCCACCCAGCCAGTCCCCCTGGGCCATGCATCCCTCCCGGCCCCCACCAGCCTGGCGGAGCCTGGGGCAGCAGCAGTACCTTGCTCTCGCTGGCGCTAACGCAGACATGGCTGTGGCTGTACTCCCTGTTGAAGGTGTGCGTGAGCAGGCGCAAGCACTGCAGAGAGAGGAGGAGGACAGTGGGGCAGGAGGCACTTCCTCCACCCTCCTCCTCCAGCTCCTCTTGGGCTTTCTCCTGCCGCAACGCCCTGCCACCCTGTGGGACCCCCTTCCTGGCTTCATCCCCACAAGCTGGGGATGCTGCAGGATGGTACCTTCACGGCCAGCTCCTTTTGCCTCTCGCTGGGGGTCTCGAGGGGAGAGGTGCGGCCCTCGGGGGCCCCATCAGCAGAGAGTGGGGAGGAGACACAGGAGGTGCTTCGGGACTCGGAGTCCTCACTGGAGCAGGGGGACAGGGTCTCCAGGCCCAGGCGCTGGGTCGTCTCCAGCTTCTCACGCAGGAGCAGGTAATGCCTTGTCTTCTCCACCTGGGCACAGGCAGCCAGGCTCAGGGATGGCCCCTTCCCCCCACAGGCATCCTTTCAGGGACCATGCTTCCCAGGCCCCGTTAACCCCATCTGCTCATTATAGAATCATAGAATCATAGAATTGTTTAGGTTGGAAAAGACCTTTAAGATCATCAAGTCCAACCGTTAACCTAGC